GGGCGGGGCGGGCGGGCGGGGTGATCGGAGAAATCGTAGCCACAATCAGCAGCAGCGGAGCAGCAGCAGCAGCAGCAGCAGCTGCAGCAGCAAGCAGCGGCCATGAAATAAACTCAAAGATCCACCACAGCCACCACCCTCCGCCTCCACCGTCGAGCCGCGATCGCTGCCGCCCGCGACGCCGCCCGCCGCGTCAGATTGCCGCGACGCGCGCCTCGAGTCGAGTCGGAGAGCCGCGCCGCACCAGCAGCAGCATCAGCACCAGCAGCACCAGCACCAGCAGCAGCAGCAGCACCAGAGAGAGGCGCAACCTGCCCGACGCCGCCGTGTCAGATGCTCCCGACGCGCGTCTCGAGCCGAGTCGCAGAGCCGCGCCGCGCCAGCAGCAGCATATGCACCAGCAGCAGCAACATCACCACCAGCAGCAGCACCAGAGAGAGACAGTGCAGTGTGACAGCAGCGCAGAAGCGCTCGCAGAGCGGCGCGCAGCGCCGCGCGCACGCCACGCCGCGGGCGGTCGGACGAGCGCAGCGTACGTCGGCCGCGAGCCGCGTCGCCAGCCGTCTCGCGAGAGAGCGGCGCCGGCGCGTGCGCGCAGCAGCCGCCGCGGCAGAGACGAGCCGCGGCGACGGCCGCACAACCGATAACTGCCGGGGGGGGCCATTGTAGCCTGTCTGCTGTGAGCGCGAGTTGTTTTGTTTAAATTCTTTTCGCGCTCCTGTGGTGCGGGCGACGGCTTCTGAGGAAGCCGTCGCCCGCGCGCCTCGCCTGTCGCGTGAATCGTGTCGTGCGACTTGGATCACTGCACTGGCGACCCTTTTTTGTTTGAATTCTTTCGCGCTAAATCTTCTGAGCGTGTCTGGCCGACGGCCTCATTTTCTGTATGGCCCTCTTCGCCGAGAAGGAGTCCGCCGCCGCTGAGATTCAGCTGGAGCTCGTGCGACTCAGGGAGCGGGAGGTGCATAGCCACATCTAGTAGCCTGACGATTGCAGCGAGCCCACGCCACACCGCCGACCGCTCGCCGCAGCTCAAGTTCCTGGTCAGCCACTTCCACTCCCTCTCGACGGTCGTCTCCATCTTCATCGGGCTCGCCAACCACGCCTTTCTCCACGGCATCCCGCCGTGCCCGACTCCCGGCGAGGGCTGCTCGGACGGCATCGCGCTGCAGTCCGCCTACCAGGTGCTCACCGTCGCGTCGCTCGGTCTCTTCACCGTCGCGCTCGTCGTCGCGCTCATCTGTGCCACGATGGGCTGGCGGCTGGCGCTCTGCGGCCCGCCTGGCTCGATGCATCAGGCTGTTGAGGCCCTGCACCAATTCCGCGGGCAGACCTCCCTCGCCCTCGGCGCCGCCCTGCTCGCAACGTTTGCTGCGGCCGCAATCCACCCGCTCATGCTCCTCCACCACAGCGACCTCGCGCACCGCCCTCCGCGCGTCGTGGCCACCGCCTCCTCCGCCTCCTGCGCCGCCTCTGCTGTCGTCACCTGGCTCGGCGCCCGCAGCGCCATCGCACACTTCCGCCTGCCCGGCGAGATGCGGACGCGCGGCTACTTCACGTTTGGACGGCGGCACCAGCTGGCCGAGTCGCGGAGCCGCGGCGCCACACCGGGCAGCGGCACGCCTCTGCGCCGCTGGCTCGCCCGCCTCACGCAGAGCGTCTTTGGGGCGGCGGTGGTGAGGCTCACGGAGCGATTGAGCGGGACGGTTCCTCAGCCGGTGGGCAGGACGGCGCCGCGCCTCATCTACGAGCTGCAGCGGCCGCTCCTAGGAAAGGAGTCCTCCGGAGAAGGAGGTGCCTCGGTCGGCGGAGCCAAGGCCTTACCCGCGGGCGAGCCGGGCGCGGGGTGCGGCGACTCGCCTGGACCACACGCCAAACCGGCGCCGGCGCGCGTCTGCTCGGTGGACGCGTCGGCGATGGCGCTGCGCCGAGCGGCGCACCTCGTGCAGCAGGGACGGCTGGGTGAGGCGCGGACGCTTGTTCGCGAGATTCTCGGCGTGCTCGAGGCGCGCGACGCGAGCGGCCGGGGCGCGGGGCAGGCCTGCGAGGACTGCGGGACAGCCGGGCGGGCCGGCCAGACTCGCTCTCTTTTGTTTCTTTATGGTGTACCTGTGTTAG